AACTGAAAAAAGCACAAAATGTGGTGAGTCACAAATATTTGAATATCGATCAAATCATATTTGAAATTTAACCAGTGTGAGAGGTTTTGAAAAGAAACAAAGTCCGTTGAAAATTGGGTGAAATTAAATTTGAAAAAAGTAATTTTGTTGCGAATGGTTATCAAAGAATTAAAGTTTATGAGTTACAATTGCGCAGATTATTAATGTTAGGGATTTAGAGAATTTTCAGTGATTTATCACGCGAGGTGACAGTGAGTGAAAAGGAGATCGAAAACGGAATAAAGGAGAGAGTGAAAGGCAGAATCGAAGAGAAAGTAGGGACGGACGGAGAATAGAAAGGAATGGCCAGGAGCAGTTATGTGTTTACGGTAACAAAAACACCGCTCAATGAAGAGACTGCGGAATCGCTTAAGATCATGAATCGTACAATGGGATTTTGGGTGATTTGACATAGTCAAGGTGAAAACGGATAGGAGTTGAGACCAGTACTGAAAGACGCGGCAAAGCAGATACCACAGGAGAACGAACATAAGACAGAAGGAGAACTGGAAAGATGGGAAAGTGTCATTCGGACAAATGGCACCATGGAGGCCATTCGGAAAATCCAGAGGAGGAACGAGCTGGACAAAGCAGGAACACTGATCAAAGACAATTTGAAGTGAGCGATACACCGAGGAGCAAAAGTTGAAAAGCAGGAGAGCTCAGACGAAGAAAGAAAGCAGGAGAGCTCAGACGAAGAAAGAAAGAGAGGAAGAAAGATGCCAGGAAGGAGGCTCAAAAAAACCAAAAGTGCGCACAAACAGAGTCAGAACGGATCCTAAGCGAACCAAAAGAAGTACGATTTCGAGAAGAAGATATAAGAAGTGAAACTGAAGAGGATGATACGGAGGAACGAGAGACGAATAGATGGGAGATGGGGAATGAAGGGACGGAGACTACGGATGGAGAAGGAAGTGGGAGAGGTGCAGCAGAAGTAAGTACGACAAAACAATGATCGCGGAAGAAGAGGACAAGGAGGAGCCAATTGAACGAAGGGGCAACCAACATAAGACAGAAGGAGAACTGGAAAGATGGGAAAGTGTCATTCGGACAAATGGCACCATGGAGGCCATTCGGAAAATCCAGAGGAGAAACGAGCTGGACAAAGCAGGAACACTGATCAAAGACAATTTGAAGTGAGCGATACACCGAGGAGCAAAAGTTGAAAAGCAGGAGAGCTCAGACGAAAAAAGAAAGCAGGAGAGCTCAGACGAAGAAAGAAAGAGAGGAAGAAAGATGCCAGGAAGGAGGCTCAAAAAAAGCGAAAGTACGCACAAACAGAGTCAGAACGGATCCTAAGCGAACCAAAAGAAGTACGATTTCGAGAAGAAGATATGAGAATTGAAACTGAAGAGGATGATACGGAGGAACGAGAGACGAATAGATGGGAGATGGGGAATGAAGGGACGGAGACTACGGAAGGAGAAGGAAGTGGGAGAGGTGCAGCAGACGTAAGTACGACAAAACAATGATCGCGGAAAAAGAGGACAAGGAGGAGCCAATTGAACAAAGGGGCAACCAAGAAAGGAATGTAGAAAAGGACTGGCACGCGAGCTAAACATCATCAACACAACTAAAACTTACCAATTTTGAGGCTCAGTCACAAGCAGCCAGACAACTGGCATGGAACATTTTCGGTGAATGAACCTCCAATGAATCACTGAATAATGACGCCGAATTTATCAACGACACGCCAGTAACAGTAACAAATAATGAAAGACCAGAAAAGACGAAACAAATAATGACTAAATTTGGGAACCCTAAACCTTCATCGCTGCCAAACTTGATACAGCATACGGAAATTGTCGGAGTCCCAGAATGGAAAGAAAATCACGACATTTTCATAAGGTCACGAAGAGAGGAGCTGGAGGGATGGAACATGTTCAAAGTGGTCGAATTGGTGAGCAACCATGTGGCTGGAGGTCTGGGCAAACGAATACTGAGGACGAGATGGGTGGACACGTGGAAAGTGGCGACTGACGGTACGAAGAAGCCGAAATCAAGTTAAGCTGTGCGGTGAGACCAAGTGGAGAAGAGCTTGTTTTAAGAGAAGGTTGCCCCAACTGCTTAAAAAGCGGCATGTAATTTCGTACCATGTTTCATAAAATCACATGACTCGGAACCAGTGACGATTGACATAAAAAAGCCTTTCTCTAATCGCGAAGAATGAAACGCGGTGCTTTCACAAGTAGAGGCGCAAATACCGAAAACTCATTGTTGGAAACTGCTCGACGCCACATATGGGTTGATTGATGCCGCGTATGAATGGTATCAAACTCTGATGAATCGACTATACTACATGCAACAAATCTACGAATGTAATACACAACTTTGCCTATTTTACTCAAAAACAGACAACGAACAGTGTATGGGGCTGCTAATTGTTCATGTGGATGACATACTGTTTGAACGAAAGACAGAACTTGAGAATCGAGTACAACGAACATTGAAAGGGTTGAATCTTGACTTAATCACAAGACAGAACTTTGACTTCCTCGCACTTAGTGTCGCGACGTATAGTGACCACATAGAAACTAAACCCGTATTGCGCGATGTGATTTCCATCCAGGACTTTGGCAATATGCCGGCTGCGGAAAAGGAAATGGCCATAAGAGATAGAATGGTCGCAATGACGAGATCATTAATCGGTAAGCTGCAATGGATGACTACTTTTATCAGACCAGATTTTTCCAAAAAAAGCTAAATGAAGCTCTTAGTCTGTTGAATACGAAACCTACTTGGGGATGATCGTAGCATTGAACAACGTGGTTCGACTATACAAAAGGCGGCCGATTCAGTCAATGAAACTTAAAAAATTATCGGGAATTCTGCAGATGGAATTCTACGGAGATGCAAGTCAAAAACATTTATCAACATTTGGCCAAGTGGGGATTATACGAGAGAAGGACACGGAAAAGGTGGCAACAATTCACTGGCATCCAAAGACGATCGGAAAACTTCACAACATTATCTTTGAAGCAGAGGCATACGCGACGAGACTCACTAGCGAGGAATGTCTCTTCTGGAAAACGATAGTTGTAGAAGTGGGCCCACCATATCGACTCGAAAAATTTACCGTGCTTACGGACAGCAAGTCAATTAAAGTCACTGTAGATGCACCAAAGTTCAACAAAGACATAAAATTGCCGCGAAAAGATATTGCGATGGTACGTTCATTCATACAATTTGAAGGATAAAATTTCATTTCGTGCCCACCTAGATGATGATAGCAGACCGCCTAGCGAAGGCTATGAGTGAAAAGGACTTACCTGGAGTAATGGAGGATTGGATGCTGAGGAAGATAGATCTAACATCGGACTACTCGATCAAGGCAGTGAGCGTATATGCACAAGTGGCATATTTGGATAAGGAGTTAGACGAAAACTATGATTATGGCGATTTACCTCCGAGCGAGCAAGAGCAATGGTCCTCGGAACAACCAGGCACCGAATACATGTGACATGAAAGGGAGAGAAAGAGAGGAGCTTTTGCAAGGAGAGAAAGAAAGCATGGCAATCTAAAAATCGAAACTATGATTAAAAACAATAGACATTAAAACTGTACAAATTTTGACTGAAACTAAAAGCAATATCTTTACAAGATGCCCTAAGTTACTGGTGATACATATTATTGCTTAACGATGTGTTAGTTTAAGTTATATTGTTGAAACAGTGGATTACATTGGTTACGTATGTTTGTACATGGGGGGAATAGGAGATATGTATTGTGGCTGATAGAATGATCTTCAGTGCACAAGGTCATTATGTTAAGACGTCTGTGGCCTCACATAGCTTATCTGAAATAGGATAAATGTTAAGAGACTATTGTGACAAATTAACCAATTCGTAAATAGTTGTTTTACCTCAAGAGAGAAACTTCAACATGACGTAATTTCGGCTGCAAAATATGGCGGTCTGTAGATATTGTGGTTTGTTGGAAATCCACAGGATTTTCCTAATTTGTTTAGCAAATGTTTTTTTTTCATAGATCTATTAGACGCTTAGAAAACTTCACAACGTGTCACAATCAATAACCCAATTGTGGTGGACCATCCTGATTAATCAACTCTCATAACCACAGAAAATACTAGAAAGCCTGGAACTGTCTCCGGGAACTGTTTCCCGGCAATTATAACTACCAGAAACACCCATTGGAGGAACAAATCACTGCTTGTTTTTCGAACTTGTTTTTCATACCAACTTGTTTTCATGTCATTCAGTTATGCATTATTTTATAACATGTTTTTTTTTCAATTGCTCAGTTGAAACCACTGTTTCTAAACTATTTTATTGGCGCAAGTGATCGTAAAATTTTAATCTTCTCTCTGAAACATTATGAACTTTAACTTAACACGAGATGACATAAAGGCTAATTGTAAATCTGGACTTTCTTTTAATAAAACTCCGGTCATCAGGACTGCTGTGATCTAAAAAATTAATTATTTTGAACAGGTCTTGTCTGACCTTTAGTATTAACCATTACTTCGGTCTATCACATCAAACGAAGATTTTAACTGGCGTAGTTAACTTGCTTCCCTTTTGTGAAAGTCTGTCCGTATGACTGACTGTACTTTATTCAAGTAAGCCATTAGATTTTGCTCGTGGAGTTACCATAAGAGATAGGCTGCTACCTTTTCGATTTTCGCTGAATCCGAACTAAACATAACGCGCAATATAATATATTAGACGCTAAAAACATAAATCAATTTGTTGCACAAGGAACATCTATACAAAACAAGATGGCATCTTCAATCGATTTTGAGCATCTTCAATCGAAACATCCAATATGTAATCGAATCTGCTACCAAAAAAGAACAATTTATATGCACGTCGTTAGATGTTCATTACGCGTGTTTTTTTTTCTTGGTGAGCTAAAGTAATTGTCACAAAAACTATTGAATCATCAGCAATAAAGTCCAACTTGATTTTTAAGTGGACTGTTTGTAGCGAGCGATGCTTCATTCTGATATGTTGTCGCGCACTGGTGAAAATAAATGAGTTTTGAAAAACTCTTTTGCTTTGCGCATTTTTGTTAGTACCATATTTAGCATAAAACTACCAATTAAAAGTGAACTTTAGCAGCTTATTAAGCAAATCGCTGCTGTCAATGCCTATCAATGATGTGGTTCTGCCAGAAAACGTATACGACAAAGCCATTTTCAGAAACTTGAAAACTTTATTCAAAACTATGTTTTCATCGCCAACTACATGATACAAATGAACTCTTCGGCTCAAGATTCAAACGAGTATTTGAATATATCAATATCACTTGACCGAAATTTTTTTGCATCTCTAGCGAACCCCGCAAAAGCTCGCAGCGATATTTTTTCGGATAGTGACAACTTCACAATTTTGCTGGTTAATAAAGAGGCCGACAAGTGCTTTGGAACAGTGACGTTATCTTTGAACATTAAGGAGACCCTTGAAAAAAACTTCCAAGCAAAAACCAACAACTTCGGCGACAAATCGTGGTTTGGCGAAAAAAATGGAGATAAATTGTTGGAAACGGCAGAAATCGAAAACACTAGCAATTCAGCTAAAGTGATTGACTTTGGGGTTATGGATACGAGCAGCATCTATTGCAAAGATGCTCAAAACGCCGAAACTCAAAAGAACATAATCGGAACGGAGTTGTCTCATTATGAAAATGTCTTTGAAACTTCTTTGTCAGATAATTTCAGTGGCCGAAATCATTTCGACGCCGACTTATTGGTTCGGCCAAACTCCATTTCGAACGAGGAAGTTTGCAAGAATGCAAGTGAAACTTATACTCAACAGAACATGTCGAAGTTAGCCACAGAACTAAGTAAGTTGTTTCCAGTAGATGACTGTTTGAAAGATTTCATCTCAAACTTTTTGACTATACCGGGGGACTCTATTGAAAAAGCACCAGAAATTGAACATAATATAGAAAATAATAACATTTTGGACGCGATAAAAACTAGCGATTCACAGATGAGTTTTTCAAAAGAATCGCAAACAGAAATTGGAGATAATTCTAACGTTTTACGAAACGGCGATATGGTTTCATCCCGTGTAAACGAATTTGCACGCAACCGAAGATCCCAGTTTGAAAATGGCAGAAATCAGTGCAGCGCTGCAGTTCTATCTCAAAGTTCCGCAAACGACAACCAAAATTCTGAAATTTGTCGATTATTGGAAACAAAATCGAATAGTAGCGATAACATTTATGAAGCCGCAGAAACTCACACTCAAGGACAAACATTTAGTTTACAAAGCGAAACAGCCTTGAATAATCACCTCCGCTTTTCAAATCCAACCAGCGCAAGAGTTATAGGTCAAGGTCATATTGATATGGAGCTCGGTGCGAACTTTACAGTCGTGCCATCAGATCAGGATCCGATTGATAATTACAGAATCGCGCTCGACGCTTGCTCTTCGCTTCTCAAAAAGAAAACGACTCAAGATATCAACCAGAACACAAATCATCAAGAAAGTAGCGCCGCTAACAAAAGTAGCAATGATTTCATCTCAAGTGGTTCCCGTATTCAATCTCAAAAGCCTCGTGACCTTTCTAGAACGAAAACGTTTCCGGGGACAATTCCTGGAAAACGTTCGACAATTCTTCGAGTTAATCAAAATAATCCGACTCAAATTACCGAAACTTACGTTGATAGGCGTGGTGTCAATAAGAAAAGCATGATTAGACCAAAGTTCAATGGCGCGGCCAGCAGATCCTTGTTAAGTATGGAGCTTACCAAAAAACCGGCTGCCTACACTATTTCGGGTAAATTCATTATAAGACATCAAAATTTCAAATTTTACTCGAAACATTTTTGGCTGGCTCATTGTCTTATTTGCAACATTTTGGTGTCGAATTTTAGTTGGAAGAATAATAAAACTAATTAGTACCAATTTTCCAAAAAGAGTAAAAATGAAAGAGGAGATTTCATCAAATTTAGGTACTTTCTAATCGACAAAAACGTCCAAAACTAGATCACTTTCGGGGCTTTAATCGTCCTCAAAATTGCACGAGGGCAATCGGTTTGTATGCAGCAATTTTAGGGAGACTTTGAGGACTCTAAGGGAAAAGTTTTTCGGTAGTTCAATAAAAATTATCGACTTGTTTGAGGGCACCGCCTTTTTAAGATTTTGCCTTAACTGTTAAATGAGCTTTTATGAAACCGCAAGTTTTTAGCGATATGATTTAATCCATGCTTAATTTCAAGTGATCAAAAAATGAAAGAAACAAGAGCGGGTGTATGGGTGGGAGTTGAGGGGCTATTTGAAGGATTATGGGTGAGGGTTGTGGTCTGCTGAAACATTCAACCTTTGTTTGGGCAGTCCACAACTGACTGCCCAAAATATTCCTCCTTTAGTACTGTATTATGACATCAGTTTTTAGTCGACCAACGCTCAAAAAAGTCTGGAAAAAAGTTTGCGGTGGCTCAAATAAAAATTTGTGAAGTGCGTTTTTTTTTTAAATTTTAGGGTAACTTGAGAAATAATTAGAGTTGACGAAATAAAGGCCATCGAAACTTTAAAATTCATTTCGAAGTTCCAGCACAGAAAAAAACAATTGTGCAGACTTTGATCAGAGGCAATCCTGCTGTAACGATATATTTGAAAAAAAAACATGTTTCAGCTGGCAACTCATTATCGACAACAGGGTATGCGAGGATCCAACCAAAGAAACTTCCTTCGTTACTGCAAGCAGTTCAAACCTTTTCATTCATGTCCCAATCGAACGTCTCATCCATCCGACCTGCCTTCGTGCCTCTCCCGGGACCCCCGCCGCCTCTAATAAAAATGAGTCACCCTTCATCGTCACTTATGACTCTGACATATCAACCAGTACCTTTTACGCCTTGCAATGAAAATTTTGCAGCCTCGTCTTATCAACTACCAAGTTCTACTGCCAAGTCAACTTATGAAGATTCTAGCCAAAACGCTTTCGGTGCTAGAAAACATTTCACAAAACTTTCAACTTGTTCAAAATCTGTTCAGAGAAATAGCAAAACTTGGAGCTCAAACACGTTGAAAAAATCTAAGATGACTCCGGAACAAAAAGCTTGTGAAATATGTGGCTCTCTTTCTACAAGTGCAGCGGCTCTAAGAATCCACAAAGCACATTTCCACGCAAATGCAAGACCTTTCAAATGCCAATTCTGCTTGTATGCTTCTAAAACTAAACGAACAGCGATACGTCACTTGAGAGAGGCCCATAGCTGTGGGGTAAACCCCAGTATCGACCAGGGAATAAATTAGGACTCTTTTCCTTCCCCACCCGCAAAAACAAAATTGTTTCAAATTGTTCACTTTGTTCGATTGTTGTAAAAATTGACATGCAGACTTATTAAGCTATTTCAAATATATTTGTTATTCATACTCAACCTTGTAGAGCCACTCGTTGAACCATAAAAGTTGCTGCTTGTGTGAGGAGGGCGAAAAGGAAAAGGAGCGAAAGTTAGAAGCAAAGGTTATAAATTTAGAAGTTAAACTCTTGAAAATTTTAACAGACAGTCTTTTATTTTTTTTTATTTGCCCCCGGCCTGCTCAGTGCATGACCAACCGTGGGGGAGGGGGAGATGTCATCCATTTTGCCGCAGCCGGTCCCACCTTGAGGAGGCGGATGACACTGGGACCCCTCCAGCCGTGACCGAAGCGGGATTCGAACGCATGACCCTCGTGTTAAGAGAGATGTGCCTAACCCACTTGACCACAGACAGTCTTCTCAACAGCGATCGTTGCTCAATTCAGGGTCAAACCTAAAGGTGATATCGATTAAAGGCTTGATTTGAATTATCAGCAAATAAGCACTTGCTTCCCCGGTCGACGTTTCGATTATAAGCTTTTTGCCAGTTTGCCTCGTTTAGGAGATGTTCCGATGATCGACGTGTAATGTGTTTTTTGAGAAATAAGTGGTGCTGAAGTATTTATACTGTTAGTAGCAGTTTCGACGTCGATGATAGAATCAAAGATCTTGAGAACAGATAATTTGATTATGACTCCAAAAATAAAAATTACTAAATAAGTATGTGAATGAGTTGAAAAAGTTAATAAGCTTATTTAAAAAAAATTAGTCAACAAAACAGTTACAACATAACGTTTGATGAGAAAATTAGCCTGAAAACTTTTGTGCAGCTGATAAAACTATTTCCTGCAAAATTGGAATGATTTCGAAACTAACTTGAAATGAAGGTTAAACCGATATTAAATATTAAAAGTTTTACATGGTGCAACAGCAAAGAAAGAAAGAAAGAATTTATTTCACCAAAGTAGTACACATGATAACAACAAATCAAACAAGACTGCTCGTATCAGGGCGAGGCCTTGAATGTTCCGACTGCCGTTTAGGTTCATTGGAGCAGGTAAAAACATGCAAAAGTTAAATGTAATAAAATATACGAATTTTTTTTAATTGGGATTTTTTGTGAAAATCATCACCCCACACACCATATAAAGTACAAAGTGATAGATTTCGCTTCTAGTAACAAACTAATTATGGTAAATAAGCTTCCCTCAACTAATTTGGAACAATTTCTAAGACGGATGAAATCTCCGCGAAATATCTCGGCCGTTAATTGTCCCAATATGGCCAAAATTGCAATCTTTAAACCCCGGGTTGACACAAAAATGCTTATCATACAATTTTCATATATGAAAAAATTACTTATCATACTTTTTCATACAATTTCATAAAAGTAAAAGTATAAAAATAGCAAAATCAGAATTTTTTCCATAGTATGAAATTTTATAACAATCAATTTTTTCATACTCTGGAATTAAAATTTGAGCTTTCTCATCAATCTGTCTATCCCCAAAATTGTATGAAAATAGCATGATAAGCATTATTTACAAACTATGAATTTCTATGATGAGCATTTTTCCCATGATTGAAAATACAAAAAAAAATTCGTTCTGAAATCTTGTGTTTCATCCGAAACACTAACCAAGGATTTCTTGTCCTAAAAAAACCCAGAGTGTAACTGGCAGTTACCGCGTAGATAATCTGCATTTGGTGATTTTAGCCATGAAAGTTAATTTCAACATTTTCTCATGGAACTATATAGGAAAAATGTAACTTTTTGTATCAGCCTAGATAATTTTCAGTTTGAAAATTTTGGTAGTTGAGAAAAAAACGCCTGTTTTTTTTACAAATTTATTTTTATCTTAGCAAATGAAACAAAAAATCAAAATAGTGTTAACAAAAAACGCTTTTTTTATTTTTGGAGTTTTTGGGTGAAAAGCTCATCCTGGACTACGTTATAAACACAAAAAGTCAAATTTTTCATGCAAAACTTTTTTTTCGTAAAAATATATTTGAGCACAAAAGCAAGTTTGCAACCAAAAACGGGATTAAAATTTCTTTGTCTCAATTTATGTTTATGCTGATGAACATGCATATCATATAATTTTCATATATGAAAACTATATGATAAAAGTTTTTTCAAACGGAAATCAAAATTATTTTGAGGAGCAATAACTGAGGTTACCTTGTTGAAAACAATCGATGTGCTCAGAAAATCTAATACGCGTGAGTCTCATTGAATTGGTGTCATTTTCAATTGTTTAATACATCAGTCAACCGGGGTCAAAATATAAGCCGGTCAGCTTTAAAATATCCATATGTTTTTTGAACATTAAAACAAGTTTGTTTATTGAAACCAGAAAAAACTCAAACTACTAAATGTGTAGTATGTGCGTTTTGGTTCACTTAAACACAAAATGTTACCGCAAAATTTAAAATTTAGACAAAAAGCTCTGACTTTGAACAAAAAAAAATAGATAAGCAAGCAAAACGGAATCTAATGGGTGAAATTCTGAATGCTTTGAATGTCTTCAAAGTATTTTGCAATTAGTTTTCTTCGAAAATTTGATCAAGATTTTTTTTTAAATAGTCCGCTACACGAAATATAAATCACAAAGAGGAGTGTTTTGCTTTAATTGAAACAATTGAAATCAAAAAAGCCGCGAGTATGAGTAATAAATTGTAGCTTTTTTTTAATTGCAGTAAATTTAAATTGAATAAAAATGATCAATTCTATTGCATTTGAAATAAATGATATTCGACTGAAAATTTGCATATTTTTAATCCATGAAAATGAAATTTTTCATGAGTAGATATCACATCATATTCATTTTTTCCCATCTAAAAAAATGAGTGTTTCAATTGGAGATAATTTAAAACAAGACTGCTCGTATCAGGGCGAAGCCCTGAATGTTCCGACTACCTTTTAAGGTTCTCCGTTCATAAAAAAATGAAATGAAATAAAATAAAATGAAAATTTTCTTTTCTAAAGTTTGAAATTTTTTATGAAAATCATCCCCCCACACGCCATATAAAGTACAAAAGATAGAATTCGTTCCTTGTAACAAATCAATTATGGCAAATAAGCTTCGTTCAACCAATTTGGAACGATTTATAAGACGGATTAAATCTCCGCTTACGCGTTAATAGCGTGAATTATATATCGCGCGTTAATTGTCCCAAATTGGTCAAAATGGCCAAAATGGCAATCTTTAAACCCTCATAACTTTACGAAAAATAATCACAGGTGAAATATCTTTTCGATTTTAAGCTCAGAACAACAATACCTTTTGAATGATGTAAAAAAAATCCGTCGAAAATGGCTAGTTAAAAAGTCGAAATTTGTCTGAAGAAAAAAAAACCCACCCCGAGCACAAATATTCCGTTACTTTCGTATCGAAAGTCGGAACAATAATTGGTCCTGGCATGAATCATTTCGCAACTTGATATGTTGTAGGGTTTCGATGCAGGAAAAAGTTAAAAGTCTAAAGTGTAATATTTTCGTTTTTTTTCAAATTGATTTTTTTATTTTCTTCAATCGGTTTCCTGCTCTGGTGAACAGCTTGGTTTGCTTTGAAGAAATCTCCGTTAAAGTTTTCAGGTAAAAATTACTGACAAGAGTTTTTATTCAAGAAAGTTTGAAACATTCGAATCATGATTATACATCATTCAGGTGCAAAGCTCGGATAGTTTAGTAGTGGTTTGGAAACTGCATAAAGTGCGTTGGATACCGAATCATTTCAAAAAAAAACTTTGAAGTCGGAAATCTGATGGAATTGAAAGACAATTGTTTATGTACTACGTAGAACTACTAAAAATTAGCTAACGAGCAAAAAATTGGAAACCAGCGACAACGCGGATTTCGAAGAAAAATGCTAAGAAATGCTTATTTTTGACTCCGCAGACAAATGTAATTTTGTATTAGGAAAAAATTGAAGCAAAGTGTTATTGGATTCCGCAATCTATTCGTCTTTCGTCTTTTTTTGTCGCTGGATTCCACAATTTCTAAGGTGATTCCGCACTCAATTCCACAAATAAAGTTTTGATAGTTTGAACAATTATTGGACCCATTTTTTGATCACTTTTTTGTAGAGTATGCAGTGAATGTATCCCTTCCAGTTTCAATAAATGCTATATTCTTTTTTATATGACAATTTATATCAGCTTTTGAGACATATCAACTTCCAAACTTTTCCGCATATGACTCTTATCTCATCATTTTAATAACCTCTCTCCCTCAATACCCTACCTATTCGTCGAATGAGACAAACCCCTTTTTTGAACCCCCTCAGTATTTACGACAATTGCCGTAAATGCTGCGGAAGGGGTGTAACATTCTCGGATTTGTCTCGCCCAATGAAATAATCGAGCAAAAATACATCCAGTCAAAAACATAATTATTTGGATTGCAATGAAAAATTTAATATGATTCCGGGATATCCAATAACGAAATTGTGTCATCTGTAGAATGCAAAGAGTACCTGGCGAATGTCCCGAAAACTCATCCGCTAATCTGGACTTGATGGAACGGCCAAACTTGAAACAATTAATTTGAGTCCAAAATTTGACAAAAAGGAGTAAAAATTGAAAACTTATGTCTGTTTTGCTAAAATAAATTGAGCGGTTTAACTGTCTCATTTGCTGATATCATTTGTTTTATACATTTTAAATTAACTGCATTTAAATTTGGAGGGGATAAGTTGAAAAAAAGGTCCGATACATGTTCAAACATTTAAAATTGTGCATGTGGAATCCAGCGACAAAAAAACTGAAACTGGCTGCAAACTCACTGCTGACAATCAGGGAAATCCAGTAGTAAAAAGAATAAATTGACCTCAGAATCTTATCACAAGTTTTAGAATCTAGCGACATTTAACGGAACCCACTTCAACGGCTGAAACACGTTTTTCTCCGGAATCCACGAAAAGAAATAACTTGTTGGCATTTTGTAAAGGGATCAATTGATTGTGGAGTTCACTCACATACTTCCCTAAACACGCAAAAGATGTATCCGTGTAATCCAGACGCGTCAAAGCACGCCAGGTTACATAAGCAGGGGAAAACCTTGAACTTCTTGCGAGGAATTTAAAGACCTGAACCCCGGGCCATCCAGGAACCCTGCCAAGAGATGTACGAAAAAAAAATCTTTGAAAA